CAACCAACAAAGAGGAGATCATAGGACGACTATGGAAATGGTTTGTGATGAAGAACAGATTGGTTACTATCCAGTAAATGTATCAATTTAAGCAATAAATGTAAGGAAAAAATAGAATTTCATGTTCAAATCAGATACTGTACTTGTTGCTTCACGCTGCGTGGAAGTGTGCCTGTTCACTGGACACAAAAAAGAAGAGAAAAGACAGACCACTGACAATTCAAGACTGGGGGATAAAAAGTCTTTGACAGTTTGCTGCAGGTTGTTAGTGAGGAGAACAGAGTTTTCAGTGCTGGTGTTACATAAGCATGAGAGACTCTGAAAAGCTGCATGTTGATATGCTGTGGCCCCCTGTGATCCCCCCCTCCTCCACCACCACCACCACCACTCCTTCAAAGCAGCTGCTAAAAACGAGCAGCCGAGCGCTCACATCACAAACTTTACCGCTTTGACTCCCCTCAAAAATTTACAATACCATTTCATCCCCAACACAAGACGCCTATATGCACGTTTTCTCTCCCCGCTGCCTCGTGTCACAGCAGAGTTTTTGTCAAGTCTGTATACACAAGCTTGTCAAATAACACCCCGCCATCCCAGCTATTCTGAAAATAAAACCCGTCGAGCCTGAAATTTACACTAATGAGCTTAAAATCTTTGGTAATCCAGCAGCACGGATTATTCTGAAGTTACCCGGGGCGCCTTGTCTGAGTGTATGCAATGCAAACTAAACACCTCGGGCGTCGATTTCATCCATGTCCACTTAAAAACCTGCATAAAAATTGGCCACTCACCTTCCATCTGCTGGTTGAGTGATCGATTATGAATAATGAAGCATTTCCAGAGGGTTTCACATTAACGCTCGAGACTATAGCAAACTCCCAAACAACAGGAGCAGAGACAGAGTTAAGTCTGAGTCAGCAACAACTCAAGTCCTGCGTGACGGAGGCAGAGAGGTAAACATTTTAACAAGTATTTATGTGACTGTCCTCTTAAATCTATGTGTTTTATGTAACCTAATAGCTTTTTTTAGTGGCTTCACTGATGATCAGTCACCTTGAGCTTCAATACTGCACTGCACAAAAGTACAGCCGCCACCAAACCCGTCATGGTCACACAATGAGTTTGTCTATAAAAGCTCTGAGGTTCTAGTTTCATGTTGTGAGTTTGTCATAATGAGGCTCTATGAAACTCACCAAAATAATTGCAGTTATTTCTCTATTTGATCCAGCTGAAAGGTGAACATCTTTTCTGCAAAAACACTGATGTTCAGTAGTCTCGAGTAATAGATGGGAGGGGGAGCATAACATCAGCTCTTTGCACAAGAATCAGGCAGAGGAGAACATCATAGGAGGGATACTGTACAGGCATCAAAGGGACTATCACACTATACTCTTTCAAGAAGGTGTTGAGAATGCTGCAGCAGACACACACACACTCGACACACACAAGAACTCCAAGAGGTGTTGTCTCTTAATGATGTCAGCAGGAAATGCCAGCTCTCCTGCAGATCAGAGGGATTTTCAGACGAGACAGGGGAGACCCAATGAGACCCAACATCAAGCTATGAGGAAGACTGAAGGACACTGCCACGGAGCGTTTAATGGGACCACCGATAACACGCTTGCTGCTGGGTTCATGTCCCAGCTGCCCTGGCATTATCCGCTGGCATTTTAAGCAGAGACTCCTGCAGCCTGTGATGATGGGTACAGGGGGGAGAGTGCGAGGGGAATCCCTGCTGCAATAACAACTTAAGACCCTCCCCAAGGACCAGTAATTTTTTTGGCACAGCCTTCGCGAGTCGCGCTCATTCCCAAAAATCAGTGCGTCAATAACGCAATCATTTAAACGCAACGGAACAAATTTGTCATCGTTGTCGTTTAACGAGAGAAATAAAACAGCCTAACATCCAAGTGAAGCATCTGACATCACTCATGTAAAGAAAATGGATCTTGAGCCTTGATGTCAAAACAACCCACAAATATTGCATCATTGATTTGAAGTTGAGCGCTTGACTGATTCCCGTCGCTTCGTGTTGCTCACAGTGAGATTTTCTAAAGTTGATCCTTGTCTTTAAAAAAAAAAAAAAAAAAAAAAAAACCGATTCGTGAACAGAAATATTTGAGCTGAGCTCCGGTCTCTGTCAGAGGCACACCGGCAGCCCCCAGTTTGCGGGGGTACAGGCGGTCTCAACGGAACTCCCTACCTTCCACTTTGGTGAGGGTAAGCACCGGACTGTTGCAGGCGGACAGCGGGGCAACCCTTGCAGAGTGTTTCTTCATGATGATGAGCTCGGATGGGCAGAGCTCCGAACCGCTTCGACTACATCCCTGAGGCTGATTTGGTGCAGACACCAGACCTCTTGATGGGACCCTTGATGTTTCTAGAGCCGGTGTCCTGCTGTCTGTCCCCTCACATCCATCCAACCTCCTGTTTTTAATTTTTCTCTCTCTCCCTCTTCCCTCTCTCCCTCTCTCTCTCTACCTCTGTCGGTTCCCCCCACCCCCTTCCTCCACTTCCCTCCCCAGATCTGCTGTATCCAGTGCGTCCTGGCCGGTCTCTCCTTCACGTACAGTTTGGAGATTGCTGCAATTCGCCAACGTCACGCAGCAATCAGCTTCATAACCACGTCCCACCGCCCATCCACCCACCACCCTCCGTCGCGAAGCTCGGCTTCCCCCCCACCCCCCCACTCCCAGCAGCTGCGATCCCTCCGGGACAAAGCAAAGTCTGCATGGGAGTGAGTAGACGCAGTCGCTGACCCGGAGGCGTGCGTTAAAACTCTGGGCTATAAATGGCCCGTGACAGATATGATGGGACCAGTACAGTTTAAGTGGGAGGCTGGTGTGGGTGTGTTTAGTCTATAAATACTGCAACTATAGCTCATGATTATAATTAAATGATATGATGTTTTTTCCCCTCTTGATGAAGTAAAATCCTCACAATTAAAGCTTAATGAAGCTTCCAGTATCTCTGTAATACAGCTTGCTGATGGGCTTTTAACGCGGTGGTTTTACACGCTCATGATTTTTATTTGTGATTTAGTTGTCTTATGTAATCTCAAAATTGCACAGGGAATTGCATGTTTTTGCATTTACTGCAAACTTCTTAGGAGGAATGCACCCACCCAGTCTTTTCTTTTCTAGTTTCCCATCTCCCAACCGTCCAGATACTGATGACCTTATTGTGGATTGGTGTTGTCAGGGCTAATAATTAATAAGTTGCACTGATACCAAGCTAACATATCAGCGTCTACCTAAGAAAACTAAGAACATTGTGATACCTACGTAAATGCACATGGTCTGCACCCGTTATTACATAGCCATGAATAAATTGCACATTATATCGTAGCATATCATTACCATATTAGCAGGTAGGTGTACAAATAAACTGAGTGACCTAAGTTGTTCTCCTAATACTTCTTCTCTGTGCTTGTCACATCTGTGATTTGATAAAGACGTCACCGTTTGCATTCTTCTGATAACAGAAATGAGCCGAGGATATCTGGATTCTTCAGGTGAACGACTCACGAGAGGCGCTGAAACCATTTCCAGTTCCTTGGACTCTTGTCTTTTTGATCTATCAACGACAAAACTTGGCTCTAAAGCCTGGAGTGACAATTCAGACTTGTGTGTGTTTCATAACTCTCTTAAACTGAAAGCTGTCCTTAAACTGCTGCTGTTGCAGCAGCTGGTCAGCTGAAATTGTGCCTCGGTGTATCTGTGTCATGTCATTCCATGTTTTGCTTGTGTTTTATTCCTGAGCAACCATTGGTGGATACGTCAGAGAAGAGCTGTCAGCGGTTCAAATTATCCAGCTCCATACTTCTCAGAGAGTGCCTCTGATCCCTGTGACTATCAGAGTTAATGTCTTTGTAGACATACAAGAGTGTGTCTGCGTAGGCTCTTCACATGTGAGTGTGATCCAGCTAAAGGAAACTGTGCTGAATAATTCACTTTTTAGATCCACAGTCAAGCAACAATCCCTTGACCGTGGCTAACTAAGACAGGGAGCTCTAAAAACACTCTGCCCAGACGCATTCTGGCATCCCTCAGCAACCACTGGAAATGCTGCACTGGATCTACTGGATCCTTTACTATTTTCCACTGCTACACATACCTCCTGTGTTTGGGTTTGAAAAAGGGAAATGTCAGGGAGAGCGGATGAGGGCTAATGGATGAAGTGCAAGAGCTCACCATGAATGAACTAAAAGAGCAGAACAGGATGCTTGATGGATAAACATTATAAACATGTCACCTGTGAATTATATTATTGTGTGTCACAGTAAAAAATTCCACAGCGTGTATGTGTGTGTGTGCTTGTGGTGTGTGTGTTTAAGGCTCTGCAGCTGCCAGATGTCTTTGCGAGCTGATGTTTTCAGCTCTCGGTGCCTTTGTGTGTTAAAGACATGACGATTCAGAGACTGTATACATGTTATTACCAATAGGAAAGACAGGGAGGTGGAAACAGGTGGAGTGGGTGAGATCATTAACAGATCCCAGTCAGTGACTCACAGACTTTTATCTGCAAACACGGAGGAGGATCAAACCAGTCCATGCTCTGAGACATCACATGACAACTCCCTCTCTCTAACAAACAATCTACAGCAATCAGTGTGCATGAGCTGTAACGGCACGTAAAAAGCCAAATCCTTTGAGGTCCTGTCCCTGCACCAACACAGCCGTATGAATCCTTTTATCCCTAAAAGAAGCAGATCTGCAAAGAGAGGCGATTATTCTTCCACGTACACAGGAATGTTCTAGTGTGCTCCAAAGAGCGGCTTGTACTTTCCTTCCTTTTGTTTATTCATGCTGAATAATGGGGGAAGCTACAGTAGCCATTTTCCAGCTCAAACAACACAGTTTAGCAGCGTCAAACACCACTGTGTGTTGAAAGATCAGGGAAATATTTGATCTAAAACAACATTAACACATACAGTAGTGTGCAAAAATCTTGAGCCTCCACTCATTTTTGTATATTTTGCTAAGAAATTGGGAAATACATGTAGCAAATTATTGAAACATAGTAGACAGTCACTGTTGTACCTCTCTCCTGAACTCCTCCATACTTATTGACAATCATTTAAAATTTGGATATATCACAGATTTTACATCTAGCTCTTGCGTAATTTGGCATAACTCAGCATTTTCTCCCTCTTCTCTCACATCCTGTGTCAGGTATTCACTGGACTTTTTCCTGTTTCTTTTTCCTGTTTTTGTCTGATTTTTTTTTTTTTATGTTTTTGAAGGTCACACAGTGCAGCACGCGAAGACATGCCAATTTTTAACTATTAGCTCTTCGGGAATCAATTGTTGGTGCAAAAATACTATTTTATGCCAGTTAAACTGTGCTATCTTTTGGCATTTTCTGTAGATTCAACTAAAGACATTGGAACAAACTGAGTGTTTTTGCAACAGGCCGCTGGTAACAAAGTGACTAATCAAAATTGGTTCTTTGTTAAATTCCCTGTTATATATATGCACAACACCAGATCTTCCCTTGAATTATGTTCCTTTCCATCCATCTTGCAGTCAATTTAGAATCAGCTATTAAACTAAGTTCATGCATTTCTTTGGACTGTGGGGTGAAGCTGGAGTATTTGGAAAGAACCCACACAGACGGAGGGAGAAGATGCAAACGCATGAAGTCCTTCCTGTGAGGCAACAGTGCTAACCACCAAGCTACTGTGTGCCCTCTGAAAATAGTCATAGGAGCCAGGATGGAATATGAGTGAAAAAAACAGCATGTCCAAAGAAAAACTTCCAAATGCTCCTAGAAAGTCTGGGGGGTTACCACTTCATAAAATTACACACACAAAAAGTCACCATTTGAAAGAAAAATATAAAGAAATGAGATACTGCAACCCCCCCCCCAAAAAAAAAATAAAAAATGTGGTGGCCTTGGGGAAAACATCTACAGCTATGCAAGGAAGACACAGAAATCCAGCTAGAAGTTTTCCTTGTAGCCAGCAAAAATCATAACAGGAAAGTAGTTTGAAGCAGAATCTCTGGGGAACAAAGTGTCACGGTTCTGGGTCAGTTTCTACCCAGTATTTTGAGTTTATAATGTTTTGGTTTAGTTTTCCATCAGGGATTGTTTTCTTGTTGTGTTGATGATGACGATTATGATGTTTATTATTAGAGTTTCATGTTTCTGTTTATTGTGTTTAGGATTGTTCTTCGGTTGTGTCTGCTTAGTATATGTCTAGTTCCATGTGTCATTTTCTGTCGGTCTCTCAATGTCAAGTCTGCGTCTTAGGTGATGGTTTCTTGTTCCTGTTTTATTGTGAAGGTCTGCGTCTCATGTGAGTGTGTTCAGTTTTACCTCTCGTCTCGTTAATGACTCCCAGCTGTGTCTCCCACCTGTGTGTAATCTCCCTGTGATTTACTGAGTGTATTTAAGTCGTGTCTTCTGTGTTTGTAGTTGCTGGTCCGTCTGCATTCCCACCGTGCTTCATCTGTGTGTTTCCCTGCTGTCTACCGTCATCTGTTTCCGCCCGCTCTCGTTCATGTTCGTGTTCTGTACTCAGTTTGTTCCCAGTATAGTTTAGTCTTTGTTCGGTTCGCCTTTTGTCCATTTTTATTTTGTGTTTAATAAACCACCATCACACCTTTACAAGTGCCTGCATTTGGATCCTCCTTTATTTTCCACACGGCTCATCTCACTCGCCGTGACACAAAGTTCATGAAAACTGACCTACCTTCATAACCAAAGGGCAGTTTTTGATTTGGATTAAGAAGAAACAAGAAGCAAATCTTTTGATATTAACTCCCTACTTGATATAACATGTATTCACCCCTTTTACAGTTTCCAGACTGTGTAAACTTGGAGCTGGATGGGAAGGAGTAAAAGTTGGACTTGATATTGGAAGATGATTGACTCGGACTGCTAAAAGGTGTCCAAGAGTAAAAGTTTCAATGATTTCTTGTCTTACCTAAACAAAGTAACAGTGGCAGCATGAGTAAAAGTGCCCAGATTAATTTGTGCACAGCTGTTTTTTTTCTTACAGACAATCCAAGCTGTTGTAGTGCATCTTTGCCAGACACTGCCAGATTTGTTAACAGCATTTCCTTATCCAATGACACTGCAAACCCTGATTCAAAACAAATCAATTCCTTGTCTTCACACCATGAAAGCCTCAGTTTGCTGAAATAAGGGAATATTGGAGGCGCCCAGTCACCTCCTAAAGGACGTGATGCAGTTCATTATGTAATTTTATTAAACACATGACCCAGGAGCCAGAACTAGCCTGTCAATTTATTTTGGTCAGTTTTACAATCTTCCTACTGACAAAGAGCCACAGCCTGGTACACTACAGTAAAGTAAAAAAGTAACAGATAAACCATCAAGTAACAGAAACCATTTTCTTACCATTTACCATGGGAAATATGATTTTTTTTGTGACCTTAGTAGCTCAAAATAAAAATGAAAAACGACATTTCCTGTGAATTAACAGAAAACTTAGTTTTTTTCATTACAGGACAAAGTACTGAAAATAAAAACTGAATGAGCTGCCCGTATTGTAATTTTGCACTTTTATTTCTTGACATTTAAG